TCGTCCTTAAGCTCGTTCCAGAGTAATTCGTCTTCCTCTTCGGCATGAGCGAGATGGTCGTTGTTGGCGGCGAGAAGCGACTCATTCATTGCGAAGCAAAGAGCGAAAATGATATGGAAAGAGACAGAAAATGATGGAGAAAAAAGTGTACAGGTTGTGAGAGTCCAGAAGATGCTGGGGGCGATAAGAGGAAGACGGCGAGGTGACGGATCGCGATGCTGGAGAGCCTTCTTTCTGAGAACTTATGCGAACTTAAGAAAAATTGCGAACTTAATTTGAAGTTTAGTGTGGAGGACACAAATATAAGTTGAAATGCGATGCACTGCCAAGGTTCCGCTGTTTTTGATCAAGGTTGATCGTATGCTGCTAGAGACACATAAATCGGCTCGGCTTAGCTGCAGTTCATACGCGAGCCAAGTAGCACTAACCTGCATCGCGTACTGGTATTTCTTCCTGAGTTCAACTTGATCCACTGGGTCAAAGCCTGCAGTTGTGACAATCAGTGGATTCCCAATCTCCCAAGGGTGGGGACTGCATTGCGAGCACAAAAACCATTAAGTCTGAAGAGAACGACGATGACGATCCGTGTTTCGCGAATGACATGTTGAAGCGTGTCAATGCGTCGGCTAGATTCAGTTTCGTGACGTAAGCGTGTGGCTTACGGTACCCATAACCTACTGCTCTCTGAAGATTGTGCGCCTGTCATTTTTGCCACTGCGCAATTGTCCAACATCTGATGAAGTCGTCTTTATTCGCCATCTCCACGCTTCAGTTCGTCGCTCGGCGCTGTAAATACTACGCGTTCATCAATGCTTTCATCTGCAGCGTCGCTCTGAGCAGCTACATGGCAGTGTCGTCTATCGATCGAGAGGTAGAATCTCCGATAACGTTAGTGCAGTTGGCAGTGGTCTACGGCGTAAGTTTATTGCGGATCCTGGCGATGATCAAGTGGTTCGAGTGGATCGCAACCAAGAAGGTGCAGATTAATGGTGGCAAGCGAGTGAAGCTCACACACAAGCAGATTAGGGCCATCTACTTCCGTATCCTGTGGCTCGTGGTGTCTACAGAATGTGTGTCCTTCTGGTTCGCGGGGCAGACTGTTGTACCAATACAGGACAACGTAACTTGGCAGTATTTTGTGCTGGAATATGTGTCCTTCATCCCCAAGTCCCTGGTGTTTGAGGTCATCTTCGACTTCTTCCATTTCGCGATGCATTGGCTTTGCCACTACAGCTCGTGGCTCTACAAGAACGTGCACAAGCAACACCACCTGCACTTGCACCCATGCCCTCTGTCGACGTATGAGCAAGACGGTATCGACTTATGCCTCACGAATGTTCTGCCGTTCTGCCTGGCGTGGACGCTTGGCTTCTCTTTCTCGGTTTTCCAGCTGCATCTGCTGTTTGCCTACAAAACGTACGTGGAAATCGCCGGCCATTCCGGTTTGGACATCAAAGGGTTTTCGTTCCCTCAGATGCCGATAGTGAACAATATCACAAGTATATGTCTCCGGGTGCATGACCACGACCTCCATCACACTCATCCACGTTGGAATTTTGCCAAACGGTTTTCGCTTTGGGACAAACTTTTTTGTACGTTCCGCCCTGGCAAGCCGCTATCGTGAGCTAACCTGGTAAGCTAAAATGGTATGAGTGCTACGTTTCAACGAGAATATAATTGTGAAGCCATTTTCTAATCTGTAAGAATAGCTATTCGTAAAATTCTAGCTAGCACTTTACCCTTTTAAGTAGACATAAGACGGAATGCCAGCATTCTGTAAGCACCACCTCTCTACAGTTTGGAAGGCGGCGCAAGTTGAGCTCCAAGGTGAATATTCTATCTATCGAGTACAAGACTTGTTTACGTATATCAACACAGCGAGCAGTGCCCGAGTATTCCTGGCCCAGCTCCTAACACCACTGCCGTGCCTCGCGATAACTGCGATCGTCGACTTGCTGCCTTTACGACCAATTTCAAATAATGCCAATTCCAACCAGTTGTTCTTCGTTCGAGCGTTTGCTTCATTTTAGCTCGCCAACACCACGACGCATAACCAGTTCAAGCACATTGTGCCACAATTACCGCTTTCTAACGCAAAAATCGCTATCTACGGCGCTGTTGTGGCTGCTATCACAGTGACTGCCATGTATGGACTCGTACTCATTGTAGGCTTCCCGCTGCCATTCAGTATAATTACGATGTCACCAGTTTGGTTATCGCTTTTCGTGCTGCCAATGGCTCTGTGGATGGTTAAGTCTAGGACAGATCCAGAATCCTGGCCACTCGTAGTGACGTCATTAAAAGTGATGGTATGTCAAGAGGTGCTTGTGGTTGTCTATCCGACGTATTTCTACGTGTTTACAACAATTCCAGCAAGTGGAAAAACCTATTTTGCATTACTCTTGCCTGTCCTTAAGCTTGTGTTTCGGAATGCTATGGCGAAAACCGTAGGATATTTAAGTGACGAAGTTCCAGAAGGCGTCAATACTACCCAATTAACCGTCACCACACGCTTTGTACTCTCACCATTATGGAGGGCAATGGCAAGTTACGATCAGAGCAATCACATATTGACAACAAGTAATTAGGACAAGTGAGCAGACGCCGCAATCATGTACGTGTAGTTTACCCTTACTTACCAGCATGATATCTGTCTTTGAA